CATTAAAACAATTGCCAGGAAAATAATTTTTCCCACCAAAAATACTAAACTTTTTCTCCAAAAGAGGAAAAACAACAGCAAAACTTATAAATTTAACCCATTTCTTCGTTTTAGATACGTACATGTTTATTTGAGATAACAATTTTGAGCATATCATTTTTATGAATTAATGCGATACGGTTTGAAATGTTTGAATGTACCATGAAAAAGTCTTGAATTTTTTCTTCAAACAAGCATGAAAATGATGTGGAAATGTGAACTTCCAATATGCAGGTACGCAAAGAAGGTTCATTCCTAACCTAACTGGAAATTATCGAATCGCAATGTTCTAGATCTAGATAACAAAATAAAAAAAAAACGATTTTTAAACAACAAAATAATCGTTGGAACTTATAAGCTACGAATACCTAAGTAAGGATCGATAAACTAAGTATTATTTTAGATCGCATTGTATGTAAATAAATTCAAGCGTGTGAAATAGCTATTCATTCAACAAAACATTGTGTTTCAACTTGTGTTTCGGATTCAGTTGAAATAAGTCAAATAATATATATTCACAACCTGTCAACAACGCTACCTACTTGATGTATGTGTTATATTTGTCGTGCGATAATTAAGATACTTCAATTTTGAATTCGATTTCATGAGTTTCCTGAATGAAAATAAAGTTTTTGAAATGCCTCATTTGCACAATCCTACTCACAAGTTGTCGCGAAGAGTAGGTATAAGAGCCAACTTAGTCATATTCTCAAGTTTCTGTCTCAATTTTAGTTTCAATTGTCAATTTATTCTCATATTTATATTTGTAATTTTCATCTTAGACTGGTGATAAATGACAGCGGGAGTTTTCCTTTTGTTGTTGATAATAATCTGCATTTACTTTTAAATAGGTACTTTTAAATTTTCTTGCTGAACAACCAAAGTTTTGTTGAACTACTACTTTTATAACAACCACAATTTTTTCAAAGCAAACACCACCACCCATCAGCTGTCAACGCTCAACCTAACTGAATCAGCTCACGATAATTGAAATTATGGATCTTTCAAGGTCACCAACTAAAGACAAAGAACCTAAAACGTTGTGAAAATACGTTTTGTATTTCAAGAAAATATATCGAATTTATTCTTGATATTGAAATTAAGATTGAAATTGAGATAGAGAAACGATCTATGATGTTTAAATTACCTAACCCTAATATACATACATTCGTAACCTTAAAAAATAACCTTTTAGGAGAATTAATAATATGCTAAATCAATCGCTTATTATATTGTGCTGTGTTTCCCCTCCCCCCTTTGCAAAAAAGGGTTTACTCAATTTAAGAGTGTTCTGGAGCTTCCCTGAAATTAAATAAAAATCGTCCACGACACAATATTCTAACCTAACTACCGTTTATACCTGTTTGTTTCACAGAATTCAATAACTTCAATCGTGTTCATCCGTCGTTCACTAAATGTTTTACGAAACACTCCACAACACATAACACATCACATATTTTCCACACAACAGTTTTCCGAAGCTAAATGAGAACGGACACTGATGAAACTCGCGATATGTCAACAACTGACGAAATAAAAATGGTCTCATCGACCTGAAGTAACGGAAAGCGATAGTATTTTGTTTTCAGAGTTCTCTAGCAAGACAAAAACACTATACAGGAAAAAATGTTTACATAATGTTACGGACCTAAAACCCGTTAGATTCTGGGAGAGGTTGCCATGTTGCAGATAATTGCTAATGATACGTAATAAAGTATTATGTATTTCATTACTAGTTAGCAAAAAATGTTTGTTATAAAAGTTTCAGCTTCTTGAAATATGTTCCAATATACGGAGTATCCACTATAATCATGGCGTATCAAAGCTGGATTTTTTAAAATAGAAAAAGATAGATTGCTCTCCATATTAGGATTCCTTGAGTAATTTTGAAATATTTAGTATTTAATGGGAACATACCGGGTGGTTCAGGATTTATGCCAAAAATAACGTCAAGAAGTGGATTATTTCAACCGTACCTAGTTTCAATGAAAACTCATTTGAAAAGTATGTTTTATTCGAAGATGGTTGGAAATGTGGGTTTTGTCTAATAAATTTAACCACTGCAGCACTAATGCTCATCATGACGGGCGCTAAGTTGGGTTAGAGAGTAAGAGAGGTCAAGTTTTTGTTATTATTTTTGCGTCAAAACAAGCACGTTTTCCAATCACCAGACATGCAATATTCTTCTCGATGCGCGTTTCGCCAAACAAGTTAGCGTATTCAGTAGATGAAGACGCTAACCCTTTACAATGGTTTACATCTAGAGAAAAATTACATTTAACTATTGAGATAGTAATTTACGTTATAAGTCTGGCAGCTGACCCATTACAGGATTAGTTGTTTTACGGACGAGCCGACGTAGGAGCCGAGATGGTTTGTGGAAAATGGCAAAATCATGTTCATTATCAATTTAAGTAATAGTCAAATCTATATATATTGAATGTAAATTGCACATAAACTGCGTTTATGTGGAATAAACTTCCTGAGAACGCCTTAAGGATTTTTCTGTAGTGCTTGTGTTTTGCCCTTAAAAAAAATATGTCAGAAAAAATATTCAAGATGGCGGATTACATGATTTTCAACATACTGACACGAGTGAAGCGGCCCTGATGAAGTTGATCATTTTTGTGTCATTATCTAAACAAATCTATCAAATAATTATTATCCCTTTATCAATAGCTGTGTTGAATCAACATGGAGAGGTAGGAGATTATAAAATGCGATTATAAAATCCCAAAAGGACTTATACCTACCTAGGTACTTTTGATAATGATAAGCTGTTAAGGAATTTATATCCTTGAAGAAAATTATCCTCCTGAAGAAATTAAATGATGATTTTAATGTGAACTCGGGAAGAATGCTGCTTTTGTGATGTGTGGGAGTGATGTTAGTTCTACTTGTCAGTGCGAAAATCAAGTTGAGTGAAATATTTTTGGAAGGTTATTTTACATTTTGAAAGAAAAGTGTCGTCGTACATGAAATGGAAAACATTAACAACACCGATTTATACAAAAAAAAATTCACTGATAATTTCCATCATAGATTCACACAGTTTGTTATTTCTATAATAATCATCAACCTAATTAATTGGAGCCAGTGTACTCTGTTCTCTCATAGTAAAAAGTAATAAAGGCTCATTAAAAACTCTTAAAAGAAACTTTGTGATTTTCTTATGATTTGCCATGGTTATTATAGGTGGGTGTATAATATTTACCAGGTTTTCATTCTATTTTTATATCGCAAAGAAGATATTTTATGAGCTTTCGGGTAGTTTCATACCTACATTGTCGTGTGTCTTTTCAATCAATAATACGTGTTGAAAGTACCAACTATTTTTAATCATTTATATACAGTTAGTATACCCAAATGGAAATATTCACCAAATAATAAATAAATGAGAAAATATTAGATATATGATGAATCTTCGTTGAATGTTACGATTGAAGTTTCTACAATTCCCTCATCTAAATGGTGCAATTTCCATATGTTGTCCCCTTTTTATAAAATGTTCCATCAACATCTGTTAAGGACTCTTTGACATCTATTATTTTGAATGTCGTGTTCCTTCTTGCTACGAAACTTTCAGTTGAGCCCAAACGAGTTCAATGGTAATGAGTTCACAATAATGAGTAGTTTCATAGTCAGAATAATAATATTTCGTTTCTGTGCCATCTTGTCGATTATACATATTCCGTGAAACGAGCAATATTTGAACATACTATGGACAACAGTTCTTTTTTAACCATACCTTCATGGTAAGCCACTAGTTGGTATTCCTTCAATTTTTTCGGAATGATATCTTGCACACACATATCCATAAGTCCAATTATAATGACTTCCACTAACTACTTAGTGAATGATAATTTTGAGTATTCTAGGATCAAACTCATTCAAACGATTAAGTTATAAAAACTGAAATTCTTCATTTAATTAACTTCAATCAGGAAAATCTTACGGAGGAGAGATTTAATTATGTGTTTTCATTGCGCACGCATGATGCTAATTCTTGTATTTATTGATTTCCAAGCATTCTAAAAAATTGAGTTTGAAACATTAATATGTACATATTATATCACAGTCAATATTGAATTTGTGCCCTTCTGCCATAATATTGTTTGCAAAAGTTGAATTGGGCTTCTCATTCAAACACTTTTATTATGATCTTTCATTCTTTTGGGGGAACTTCTCCTCGTTTGATCAATGTGAAGTTTGCTTTGTTTGGATGATAGCTTGCACTCCGTACTTTGAAGAGAGATAGACATACAAACGTGAGTCGAATTTGAAATCAGCCTATTGATGGTGTATTGATGGTGAGAATTTATTGTTTTTATTGCAAGGTTCGAAGTTTCTTATACTACACAAAGGTAGGCATTGGAATAAAGAAAATAAAATATAATTATTCGCGGGATAATTAATAGTGCTGACGAATTTCACATAATTCATTTGATTGACATTTTTCAACATAAGATGAAGTTGTTCGGAAAAGTAACAACATTGTTGTAATGTTTATTTAAAAAGGAAGAAAGATAAGTATCTACATTAACCCTGCCAAAGATTAAAATAATATAAAAGCAACAAACTCAAACCCTCATGCGCCTCCCCTCTCAATTACGCGAAATTCAGACGAAAAATCATCAAGCAAACACATATTTTTCTCAGAACAGAACATTATCAGTAGACCGGTTCAACCCACAGACGAGCGTCCTCATAAAATCAACTAGCGAGCGACTCCTCGAATCTCAGAGCGATCCAAATCAGAGGAAACCTAGCCCGTACGCATCAATTCGATATCAGAATCGGAGGCGGACATCCCATGTCCCATTCGACTCTTTTTACCAGCGTGATCGCATCGCCGGCGTCAAGTGTAACGAGAATGTAGGTAGAGAACCGCCGAATCGCGCGCAGTTGCCTTGGTGGGGGGACGAAACACACCGTGGCGAGAGAGGAGGGATGGAGATGCTTGATCAAAACATAGTTCTGTAGCTCTCATCTGAGTCGCGTGTTGCTCTCGATCGTAGTTTGCCATGGTGGCGCGTAGTGAGAGCATGTATGGGTGTTACGACTACTCCTATCGACTGTGGAGTTTAGCCAATATTTGGAACAACTATCAACGTGAGTAGATGTTCCAATGCCATATTTGATGTGCTTTTTCGATGTTATTTATGTGACAGTGATTGCTCGGCGGATTATCTTTCGTTTCACGTGTTTCATGATTGTTTTGTTTAAATTGTTTGTAAACAACTATTGAGTCTGAGAAGCGATGACGTCAGTTTCGCTGTTAGGTTTCGCCCCTCAAGCAGGTATTTTTTAATTGAGTTGTAGTGTTTGTGTAGAAATATTTCCGACCATCCGTAGAAGTGAGAAGCCTAACACTTGAAATGTTTCCTTTACTAACATATAAAATAATCTATAAAAAAATGGGCCGTAAGCTAATAACAATTATTACATTCTCTCCACTCAGGTAACAGCAGTTAAAGTGTATCCACTCCCTATCAATCAAATTCGCTAAGCTTACAAGCCGTAGAACCACCTGAGTCCACCTGATTGGTCCATTTCACAGGTGGTTTATACCTGTGCACGCGAGCTTACTTCACCTGTTTTTATGGGATTGGACAGGTGAATGGGGGAGGTGCTTTGAGCTCATACCTTGCCATTGGCAAGTGTTCGTTGTTACCTAAGTTTCCTAACCTCCTTGCATTATGTATAGGTAGCCTTTTTATTAAACTGGTTGTTACAAGAAGTCGTTTTGTTTGCTACTATACCTACCTGTTCGTGGAGCAAGTAGAAGACCGTATCCATCGTCTTGAATCTGTGACACGCGTGAGTAATCTTTTCAAGGTAGACGTGTTTGAAAACTGGTTTCTTCAGAATGAACTGACCACTTGGGATCTAGTGTGAAAAAAACTAAAATGGAAGGCTACCTGTTCAGTTTGTCTCTAAATTAGATTTGTTGAAATATTGCCGGTACTTTTCAAAATATGGAACATAACAAAAGTTGTGTAAATATTCCAGTTCGCAATGACAGTGGTCTTGATCAACAGTTATTCCCCAAAATACCTATGTTATGCTCTCAGAGTAAATTGTTTTTGCATATTTTCGACTTTTGTTTGTTTTTTGCAAATATTGACAGAATAATTTGAAATTAACGAGATATCAATATGCACTTATAAACTTAGTAATTATGTATTTGTCAGAAACAAGAACTTGTAGAACTTAAATTGTAACCGCACGACATTCTTTATATTTTCAAGTCATATAGAAAATTACAAAATTCATTAATACCTACATTATAGTACCTACCACACTATTTCACTTCTATCTATACACATGATTATTTCACTTATAGTTTAATCGGGGATGAGAGTTTAAGACAGTTTGAAACCATCTAATCAGTAGCCTTTTCAGTGGCTGTTTTATGTTTCTTGTATTTTTAATGCTTAAAATGTTTTGAGCCATCTTTTGTTTCTGTACCATAACATTTAGATTAAGTTCTTAATTAGTGCAAGTTTATTATTTCTTCTATTAAGTAAAAAGGTAGGTAACATTGTTTCTAACAATATTTATTTCGATTAGGTAACTTTGCAAAATTTTAATTCCTATGTTTTTCATTTTGAATGAACTTCATCAACCATATTCAGTTATTATCGGTGGAAGAATATAAATATTTAATAAATTGGATTCTTCCTATTTGAAAAAGTCAAATATGTACATACTTCAGAATATACTTGAAACTGTTCAATCATTTAATGTTTCGTTTGAAACTAGAGCCTAAACCCGAAATTTTTATTGGAGTTTTAAGAGACTATATTTTCTGCTGGTACTTACCTAGGCTAGAAAATCTGCAATACGGATGTTGTGTCATTGCGTCTAGTGTGGTTTCTATTTAAAATTAACATCCCAAAGTAATTATAGGTATCATAAATTTCGTTTTAAATACGTTCTCTATCTGTGTTAAAATTAATTTCATGTAAACTGTAAATATTTTATTTATATGAATCGTTAACCACAACTTTAATGTTCTCTCTTTGATCTTGGATGCTTGGTGGAAATTTCAAAAAAGAAACTTTATTGAATTAGCATACCTATCTATTTTCGATTCAATATTTAAATCGATTTTCAATTTTATTTATATATTCCGCAATCCTCTGTCATTGGATATGATTGCCGCACGCGAATTTTAATTTTGTTATCAACTTCAAGCTTTTTTGAAGTCGGCCTATAAATATTTTTATATATATTTCTTTTATGAGTAGCCTAAATACCTCGTCCAATAATACACTTTGAAAAAATAACGGTTTTCCTTCGATTTAAAAACCTTTAAAAATATTACAGATTGTTAAATTTGCGAATATATTAAAAATTTGTACGCGATTTTTCTATTAATATGTACTAGAATATATAAAAAAATATTAAGTACTAGGATTGAAAGTGTATTTTGAAAATCATCAGTCATGTTCATTTAGGATACGATATATATGTAGGTATTCAAGAATATGTTCTATAAACTAGGAATACAGTTAACCACAAAGTTCCAGCCAAATTAACAAAAGGACTTTTCATAATTTTTTTTCCAAAAAATGTTCAACGTTATCCTTCGAATTGTCACTTTTTCCATTTATAAAATTATTGAAATAAATCAAACACTAAATGTCAAATGAAGTTTACCATAATACACACAGACAAAAGTTATAATTTTTTTTTGTAATTTGTATGTTCACACCGCGATCAGTTATACATACGAATTGATTTAATTTAGTCTTATTTTTAATTGTTCAATTCCAAAAATCTACATTCAAGAATGTCAAATAAAAAAAAAGGGGCGGTTTTAGTAATGATCCCTTCAGTTGAAAATAATGCAAGGAAATCTTTCGTTTACAGAAGGGCTTACGAAGTTTACAAACCTACAAAGTTCACAACTCTATCTACCTATTCACCTTTTTCAGTCAGTATGAATATCTACCTAAGTATTTTGTAATATCTTTTTGCAGTGTCTTTTCAAACCATCCTAAATTCAGGATGAACCTTTTTATACATTATTAATCAATTTACTAACTATTGAACTAAGGAAGTCGTTTCTGTACTAGTTAGGTTATATGCCCAATTTCCCATAGCTGTGTTTCATCCTGTATACTTATTTCTTTATGGGAGGATTCAACATCATCACATCGTAACGGCACTCCTGAGCGCCTGGAAGGTATGCAACCAACATTTCCGAGAGACGCCCGCGTATCGTATAAAATTTATTCTGATTTACCTATGGGCGGATATTCAATCGCAACGTTTCCTGCTGTGGCTCCGCTTACAGATAAAAATGTTTTCAATTTTGAATCGTATAATTGGGTTAGATATTAATAGCGGGCCTCTGAACCTCCGACAGATTCAATATTATATATTTTTAATATCGACGACGTATTTTAATCGGTTTTCGAGATAATTGTATTTGGAATTTGAGATCTATCGTTTTATAGCTCGGGATGAAAGAAGTGGCGAGATGTTAAAAGTGAAATATTTAATTTATTGCAGGACAACGTCATGAATTTTGACTGAAACATGAAAGCTGTTTTATATCACTTCGTGTATAAAAATCGTGATTATTGTAGGTACATCTGTCACCGGATTCAATTTATCGATTTGCTGACGAATTTCCGGCTTTTGATCCTGAATTTGTTTATACAACTAAATACTGTCATCCATAAATATAAAGTTGAAATATTGCTTTGTAGTTTGCACATTCTACCAATTGAATTCAAATTAATAAACCACATTAAGGTTATTCAACTGTAAAGAATATTACTGGAGTTTTATCCTTACACCAAACCGTTATTTCAACACTTCGACACGTGTTTCGATCACCAAGTGATCATCTTCAAGAGGAAGATTAAACTGTACAATGTTATCTTATTTATACCATAGATACCTCTGCTAGGTATAATTCAAGTAAACGATATAGTGCAACCCACCTTCCAACAGTTCTCCTTCAATAATATAGTTAGGGAGCTAACTAATTTCGTTATTCAATGATCATTTCTGATTAAATCACTATTGGAATCACTACACAGGAAAAAGTCTGTGTTGTTATCACACTCGATATTACTATTAGTAATTGTCCAAGGACGCTACATTCTAAACAGATAACAAAACTTTTGAAATTATAACTGCACCAATATCGAATGTCAACACTCAAATCGCGATCAGTACCTGAACTGAACATTGACAACACGACTGCTATAACCATCCTCGCATTCTATTCGTCACCGTAACATGACTTCAAATTCAATTTTATGACTCTTCAGCCAGTCATAAAACTCTGTTAGTTAAAATTATCCAATACGAAACGCCAATTCTTCAGTCCACGTGGACTAGTTGGCAGCGGCTTTGTTTCTCTGTGTTGGTTTTTTTGGCCTTTGAGAACGCCGACAGCTTTAACCATGCACAATACCGGTTACTTCGACTATACCTGCGTCTTTAGTGTCTTAAATCAGTTTCAAAATGTTGCCTTATCTACTAGTCTTGAATTAATTTTACAAGGTGTCCTTATGTAATAGTCAGGAGAATCTGAAGATTAAAATATTATTTTAACAAGTTGGAATTTATGAAATCAAAATTACTGCGCTGGAAAATATTATGAACAGACAAAAATATGTATTAAAATAAGATATAAGGAACATTTGGTGTAATCTTCATCTTGAAGATGATCATTTGGTGATCAAAACACGTGTCGAGGTGTTAGAATAATGGCTTGGTGTTGGGATAAAACTCCAGTAATAATAATTACTACACCAAAGGTTCCAAACAGTGCATCACAAGTATTCAATTGTAAGTTGAGAAACTACGTTAAAAATCTAAATGCGCAAATACAATGACTGAATTTTCTGATTGATTCGGCTGTTACTTGATGAAGATCCATAGTAATTTCAAAAACTACACCTCGCGATTTGGTCTTCACAAGCTTCATTTTGAAAAATATATCACAATATGTTTCGCTAGCACGGAAGCTTTTTCAAGTGATTTATCACTTAAAAAAGCTACTGTGCTAGCGAAACATGTGATATATTTTTCAAAATAAAGTTTGTGAAGATCAAATCGTGAGGTGTAGTTTTTGAAATGATAAT